GGGGAGCAGGACAGCTGGGAGAGCGGCGGGCAGGCCTGTCATGGAATATGTGTGACCTTTGGAGGTGTAAGCCAATATAGAGGGGTGCCATTGCAAGCACCTTCGCCCCTCCATTACACAGCGGCCCTCCATTTTGTCTCCCTTCCCATCGGCTCCGCTCGCGTGCACTGGCCGGTGTAATTCAAGGAACCCTTCTGCTCCTCGCAGCTTGCAGAAACACCCGTGTAGATGAGTACCTCCTGTCCCGGGGGATCTGTCATCGCCAGCCTAAGACTCTGAATTGCTGGGGTGCATCCCGGGAAAACTGACCCCACTCCCCTGCTTACAGCGTGTTTAAGCCCCGCCGGTGCTGTCTCCTTATCCCTGCCCGCCGCCCTCCTGCGCCTCTGCTCTGCCATCCCTCGCGGGTGCGTGCCCCTCCGGCTGGGTCCGCCTGTGTGCTTGGTCACGACAGGGCCATCCCGTGGGGACTGTCCCTAGGTCAGGGGCGAGGGACTCTCCCAGCCTGGTGATGGGAAGCTTGCTGTGAAGTCATGCTGGTTTGTGGTGCATGCTGGTTACCGTGTATGTGCTGATCAGCGTGCCTGTATAGGGAATGACCTCCCAGTTGCCATTGCCAGCCACTCTGGGGCTGGACACGGGTAACCACGCTGCTGGGGTGGTCAGGACACTTATCGGGGTTGGCTCCTGCCGTTACCATGGCTTGTTGGGCTCTGTTTGCTCAGCGAGTGTTACTGGGGGAGGCAAGCACGCTGCTAAGCGGGGCAGGGGGGTTGGGGTGCCATCTCAGACATGGCAGCTCTTCTGGGGCTGCTCCCCCCACCCACCTCCCCAATGTGCTGGGCACAGTCTGGTAGTTGAGTGTCTCATTGCTCACAGACTGTAACTCCTTCTCTCCTGCTGGGAATGTGGCTGTCGCTGGCTTTTCCTGCCCACGAGAAGGTCAGGGCCAGTCTTCAGCTCCCTCCGTGGCCTGGGCCAGACCCGGGCGTCCGCGTCCCTCCTTTGACTCACGGTACCTTTTCTCTCTCCCCGTGTGCCCTGCTAACAGCTTATCCCGGACGCACCCTGGGCTCCTCTGCCACAGGTTGGTATCGCTGCCTGCTACCTGCATGCTGCCAGCGCTGCCTAAACTCTTTGCTGGCCTCCAGCTTTCCTATTCACCTGCCCCAGCAAGGACCACACTTCCCAGGCACTGAGCAGACCCTGGTTATCGGCGTCCCCAGCCCTACCAGGGCTCAGCATGTGTGTCACCACACTTGGTTGTTGCAGGCCTGACTCTGTGCATCCCCACCTCGCCCAGGCTTTGACATCTTTCCCTCTTGGGTGAAGACGCAAGAGGTCACGTGTTCCTCTAGCGACGGCTCAAAGGTGTTTGTGGTGGACCTGTGGGCCGATCTCCCACCCACGTCGTGAACCAGAGGAGCCCAGGAGATTTCCCACCCTGCAGGGAAGCTCTTCCTGCCCTTCACCCTCCTACGTGCAGAAACTGGATGTCCACCCTTGATCCCTCTCGGCTGCAGTTTAAGCCGATGAGCCCACAGCAGCTGTCCCAGTAGCACAGGCTGGCCCCTGTGCAGCGGCCTCAGCCCCCTTGGGAGCCAGAGCTGGCTCCTCTCCCTGCCTGTCCTGCTCGGGGTGTGCTGCCAGGCCCCCCGGGGAAGCAGGAGATGGGAGACGGGCCAAGAAGCACCAGCCAACACCCAGCCCTTCCCCTGGGTCCGGTGCTGGGCCACGAGGACAATGTCACTGCTGCCATACGAGGCAGGGAAATCCCATCTTCTAGTCCTCGTGTCCTACCCCATGGCTCCCGGTGCTGGATCCTGCCAAAACGGGCTCCTCCACACGGCCAGATCCTGCCGAAGCGGGTTCCTCCACCCCCCGACCCTGGACGCGGTGCCGCCCTGCCAGCGCCCGGCGGGCCCCTGCCCGCC